ACTTCATAAACGGCATTTACTTTAATGCAGGTTCTTGCGGTCCTTTCCTCGGGCTTTTCTTCCCTCCCCTTGCCTGCTCTGTCACCATCACACTCTATCCCTGCTCTGTGTGCACCTGGACCTTACACAGATGCACACGCGCGCGCACACACACGGGCACGCACATACACTAACTCACTCACTCACAGAGAGGCTCCAGAAATCACTTCTGGAACAAATGAAGACTGAGGCAGGTAGAGAAATCCTTCCTTCGCATTTCTTCCCAAGCCTGGGGAAGCCTCAGCCCCCATTCTGGAAAGGACCCCCACGCAAGGCCCACACTCTTCTCTCCAGTAGAGATGAGCACAAAGGGCGCTTTGAACAGGCAGTGAGGGAGGGGATGCTAGCATTTCATGGGGATGGCCAAATTAGGAGCCACCTGGAGGCTGGGGCCACTGCACTAGAAAGGGGAGGGCGAGAAGGCGAGGCCTCCACGCAGGTTGAGGTTTGTGAGGCCTCCCTTGTCTAGTGCTGTCAAGGTCAGCAGGTTCAGGTTCACCGAAGGGTCAGGATGGTTTGAATTACTGGCTCTGCTGCAACTCGGCTCTGAGGCTCGTGATCCGTCTCCAGCCCCTGAGCTAGACCCAGCCCTCCCCCAGCCCTCCTTGCCTTTTCTCCCCCACGGTGCAGACTGGGAGGGTCCCACCGCGGCCCAAGGGAGATAGGTGTGCAGGGCGTGTTCCTGTACAGGTAGCAGGGGTAGGAGAGGGTGTCAACACCCGTTCCTCCAGCCCTCAGCACTCCTGGGTCTCCCTGGCCTACATTCTCACCAAACCCTCTTTCCAAGGGGTCCCTCAAACCAGCTGCCTGCCCGTCTCAGCTGTCTGTTGGCCCATAGAGGAGGAGGTGCCCCAGAAGACAGCAGAAAGCAGCAGGCCTGAGGGACAATCTCTGCCTGGCTCCTCCCTCCTGCGTCCAGAGCCTGTGATGGGGGAGAAGGGTAGAGCTGAGGCAGCGGATTTCTCGATTTCTCGCTAGGCGCCCTTGCCAGTGTGGGAAGGAGAGCGGTAGCTACCTGCAGGGCTGGAAGAGAGTTGCCAATTGGCTGGCTAGCAGTGGAGAGGGGGTGATGCATATTCTGAAGCAATAGGTGTGCATCCATCCCCCAGCACAGGTGTGCACAAATATGGGGGGAGGTCAGGAGCACTGGAGGGCCTTGGCTGAGAAAATTGCAATACCTATACTATACCCTAGTGGCAAGAAGCTGCACTGCAATCCTGAAGGTACATAGTTCAAAGCCACCAGCAGCTACACACAAGAAGGATGGGCAATCTCCTCTCCTGCGATTAAGAATCCACCAGAGGGTCAACTATGGGTCTATTCCAACTCGATGATACACACTAACAACAACATACTATACCCAAGGAGCACTGATGATGGTGTAGTGACTAACACGTCTGACTACTAACCAAAAGGTCAATGGTTCGAATCCACCAGCTGCTCCAGTGGAATAAGATAGGCAGCCTCCTCTCAGAAAGATTGACAGCCTTGACAATCTGATGGAGGGTCCTTAAGAGTTGGAATTGACTTAAGGGCAATGGGCTCATGCTACACTCACCCTGATTTCCAGTGGTAGAGGGACTCAGAGATATCTTGACATCACAGTTGTACATTATTTCTTGGCAAATTAGAGTCCACCTATCTAAATTTTCTTCGGGGCCCTTTTAAAAATAAATACTCTTTGTGTCACATTTCAATACTTCTCCAAACAACCAAATCAATTCTATCCACAATGACATAACCCAGCCGCGCAACTAAGATGGTTCATAATTTGGTAGCAGTTTGTCTGTGGGAGACAGGTAGGCAGCCTACTCTCGTGCGATTTATGGCCCCTGAAAACCCATGGGAGGGTCTGCTCTGAGTTGGTTCTGAGTCGACAGCACCCAACAACATGTTAGCTACACATTACCGTGGCTAAAGCCCAGGATTTCCCCATGGAAAAACACAAGTTCATGTATGCACAGTGCCCCAGGCAGAGTCCTGACATAATATACAGCTACCTTTGAACAAATGACACGGTCAGCATTCAACAGGCTCATGGCCAACATTACCCAGAAGTTTGGCTAAAGTATGCGATCCAACTAAGATAGAAAAATTTCTCTCTCAGGTACGAACAGTCTAATTTCCCAGCTTACTAGGAAGATATAATCATAATAATAATGTGTGTTCATAAGTGGCTTTCTTCCTTCATTTTAATAAAAGCTGGCCTTTGAACCTTAAACTTTTCTTGGACTGGAGTATACATTATTTAGTTTTTGAATACTAGTTTGAAAATAAATCTAGGTTGAGTTATGTTAACGTTGTTATACTCAGATGCTTTTTCGACAGATTACTCTCTTATGTAAACTTGGGTTCTAGACTTCCTTAGAACTTTCTGTGAGGGGCCTAGGTGGTACAGTGTGGGTGAAATTATGTCACGCCAGCAACATCCTAAAACAAAAAGCAAACCCATTGCTATCAAGCCAACTACAACTCATTGTCATGAGAGAAGACAGCAGAGAACTGTCCCCATCAGGTGTCCGAGGCTAAAAATTTCATTGTAGAAGCAGAGCCCTATATCTTCGTCCCAAAGAGAAGCCAGGGGGTTTGAATTTCTGACCATTATGGTAAACAGCCAAGTGCTTAACCACTCTGCCACCAGGGTTCCTCGTACCTACAGATGACCTCTCCTTAGAAACACAAGGTCTACTTGCTTGCTTTTGGCCAATATGTCTTCCATCAATGCTTATCAGGGGCTTGGAAGAAAACAAAAGCCAAATGTGGCATCACAGGGTGGACTCGGGTTCATGGTGACCGTGTGTGTCACAGAATACAACTTTTCCACTGGCCTACCTTGTGATCTTTATGGAAGCAGATTGCCAAGGCCTCTTTTTCACAGGGATGCTGGGTAAGTTCAAACAGCCAACTTTTAGGCTGGTAGAGGAACACAAACTGTGCTTTCAAGGGACCTGAAAGAGCCTGCGAGGAGTGTACGTGCAGAAAAAGGCTCCTTTATTCCCTGCCCTCAACCTGGATCCACAACTTCAGAACTCCAGGAGCACACTCCTGGGTGGGTGTTTTTCTAAGAAGAGACCCAGATGATTAGGTGTGGGTATTATGTGTAAACAGACATAAGTGTGCTCTGTGTAGGTAAGGACTGAGTACAGCTTTGTTTTGTTTACCCAATATGGTGCGACCTCACCGAGTCAGCCCCTTTTCCCAGCTCCTTCAGGCAGAGCCCTGCCCCATTAAGATGGAGCTCAACCAGACTTGTCCCAGCGCTTCCCATGCAGAGAGCTTAGCTTCTGACTCTGCCAGCCTCCTGTGTCGGGTCCCCAAGACCTCAGGGAACAGGTGAGGTGGGCCTATGGAACTCAACACTCGGTTCTGCCTCCGCCCATATAGGCCCAATCCATGCATTAAATTCTTAGCCAGCCTGGCAGGGAGCAGACATCCACAGACTTTCCCATCAGTCTCCTCTAAGATGGCAACTGCACCCCCAAAGACCCAGCACCCAGCTTGGTCACAGCACCCTCTTGCCTCTCTCTGGGGATTCTCCTGGCCCCCTTTTCTTGATCCCTGCACTCTTTCCACTGCCCTGTCTGAAAGAGAGCGAGGAGGAGAGGCTGGTGACCAGGGCATGCCTGGTTTACATTAATGAGCTGCACCGGCTGTAATCCAGCCACGAAGGCAGCCTACAAAAGGAGGCGATCGCGGGCGGCCAGGAGCAGAGCTGCTCAGGTAATTGGTTTATCTATCTGGAAGCAGGGGGAGCAATCTCAGCACAGACAGACTAGCAGTAAAGTCTCTTCCTTAAGGCTATTTCCTTTGTCTTTTCAATTGCTTGCACATCCATGTGAGAGAGGGAGAGAGTGTTAAAGAGAGAGGGAGAGGGAGAAATGTTAATTTGTGAATTAATGGCTTTTCTCAGCGGAATTGTAAATTCAAATGTCACCTCACACGGTGACACCACGGCTGGTCTGCTGAAGAAGCAATGATAAGATCCCCCACCTCCATCGGTGCCCCTCCCTCCCCAAAGATAGCTGTGGAGTGGAACATGCTACTTTTAATTTGCTATAACAACACAACAGAGGTATTCCGTAATGACTGCCTTCTCCCATCCTCCTCCTGGCTTCCTTGCCCCCCAGTCCACTAGGCTCCCCATTTCCTCCCTCCCCATCCCCTTGCTCCTCTCAAATACCACTTCACCTCACCCTGGCTGTCCCCTTACCCTACCCCAGCGAGGGCCAGATCACATGGGGTGGGGGGTGTGTGCCTTTGGAATTGACGATGCTGCAACCCTCTCGTCTCCTTCAATAATCAGGGAATTAATGACCCTGAAGTTAAAGTGAGGCTGATACTGAGGCCCTGCCCAGCGTTGGGAAAAAGCCTTCATTGTTTTCAAGCAGGAGGCGGGCAGCAGTGAGGGAGATTCATGGATGGAGATTGAATATGCAATTTTCTTTCACCTTGCCAAGAGCTGCCCCTGGGCTGTGCCTGGCCTAAATTTTTCCTTTTACCATCTCTGCCTTATCCGGCCCTCCCACCTCCCTTCCATTCTTTCCAGAAAATTACCTTCAAAATTGATTTCCACTTTTACAAACAAATATAATGGGAACACAGGAAAAAACTTGGGCCGTGATGAATTAGGGCTGTCAGGTGCTTCCAGGTCTCCTTTGCTTTTGTTTTACTACCCGATCTGCTCTTTGTTTTTCCAAGGGCTGGAAAAAGTTCCCCCCATTCACCAAATGCTTGACCCTTTGGGCCACTGGGGGCCTCGATCCCACACCCCATCATTGGCCCAAGGCAGAAGTGATCTGGGCCTTGGGGCTCTATTAGCCTCTTAATTTCCTGTGCAAGCCTGAGCCACCTCCTTTTCCCACTCTCTGGCCCTCAGGAACCCACTCTCTGAATGATCTCTAACCACCTCCCCCAAGCTAGTTCCCTTGACCCCCACACCATGTCCCCTCTGGCCCCCATACCTCTTAAAGTCCAGACCAGATGCAAACCTCCACCTCCTCTAATGTGGGCAGGATCAGTGTATACCTCGACTGGAGTAAATAAGAGACAGACAAACACTGAGAGATCCCGAAAGGCAGGCAGGGAGAAGACCAGAGCGAGATCTGCGATCAGGAGGCCAGGCTCCTCTTAAAAGACTGTGGGGATTCATAGCTGGAAGTCCCACTCAGGCTGACTGAGTATGGATTCCTGCCTCAACCTCCCTAGCCTTGGGCCCCACGTCAGCCCTGGCGGCAGAGTCAGGGCACCCCATCCACTTGTCGAAAGAATGCAAGTTGACATCTTCAGGGCATTTTGGGGAGCAAAGCTTTATACACATATTTGTGCCTCAGACCAAAGATGCTCACTCCACTCCACCCTGGTTTGAATTCTCCCCATTTATTAGCCTGGTGGACAAGCCAATGATCATATGTGCCACGCTCTTCAAGCACTCACACAAGTCAGCAAACTGCACACATCCTCAATACAATGGCATGCCACGTGTTGGGCCGCACACTGAAAAGTTAACCCTTCAAACCCACCAAACCGCTCTTCAGGGCAAAGACGGTGGACAATCTTCTCTTGTACAGATTTACAGCCTCAGAAATCCAAGGTAGGGTTATCATGAGTCAGAACTGACTCAATGCCAGTGGGCTTAGTTTGGTTTTGTGGTTTTTTTCACCCAAAGATCTCAAGCTGGTAAAAAACACATAGTCATGCTTGTAAAAACTGATCTACGGATCCACAAAACACACACAGTAAGCTTGTGTGTGGGGAGCACAGTGACACCTCCATGTTAGAGAAAGAAGGAAGCGCTATCACTGTTTACACACGTCTATGCCAAGTGATGGTGGGTGGCCCAACTGGATAGTCACAGACCAAATAAGTAGGTAGACAAAGGTCCTCCAAGTCACACGTGAGGGGCTAACATTTCCCCAAAACTGTCTAAGTTATCTTAGCTCAGCAGCAGCTTCTCTAAGCCACCCTAGTTGCAAAGAATCACACCAAGGTTAGGAAGCCTGTACCCAGGGAAGATTCTCTCTAACATCACTTTATTTCTCCTATAAACACAACCCTACCAATTAGGCCTTCCTCCCCAGATACACAAAGACCTATCTTCCAAGAGGGAGTTGACTCAACACTTTATCTTCATGGTCTCGTTTGATCTTCTTCATGGTTCTGTAAAGGATGTGCTGAGATAGCTCCATTTTACAGAGGAGAGAACTGAGCTGATGGAGCTAGGCGTGCCCAAGGCCATACCACCCATAAGTGACTTTAGGATGCAAACTCCAGAGCTGACCTTTGGCTGCGCAGCCACACTCTGCCCTGGTGGAGTCTATGCAGCCTTCTCAGGCCCATGGCCCAGGCTCCTGAACAGAGCATCTGCAGCCCATTTCCACAGCCGGATCCCTGCACTGGCTCCACGTCTAACCTGAGCACCCTCAGAGATGTCTCAGAGGGAAACTAACTAAGGAAATAAATGGCTTCTGACAGGTATAGCTCCATCCAAAGCAGAAGGGAGTGATTAAAGACAGTGACAACCATGCAGCCATACTGCAAATGCATAACTGTCCTGGCTTGGCACCACTCAACTGCACAACTCATTGTGCACCTAATTAATGGAAAGCAGAACCTATGCAATCTTGCACAACAAGGGAGGAGACCAGCACACCTCCCCTCACACGGACCAACAGACTCGCACCATATGACTTCATTTGGATTTTTGGACAAGTTATGGACCAGCACTGCACGTCAGCCACAGCATGGCAGACAACAGTCCTTTAGACTCCAGCCGAAAGTAACTGAGGAAGGGAAAAGGACTTTGCATTTTGAACCTGATTTTAGGAAGACAAGAATCAATCCTCCAGTCACGTAATCCAGGGCATGCAACAATCAGGGAGTCAGTGTTTCTCAAAGGGCCCCGGAAACGCAGCTCTAGTATATTCATCTATCCATAGTTGTGGGGAGCAATGGTGACTTAGTGGCAAGGAATTGTGTTGCCAACACAAAGATATGTGGTTTGAATCCACTGGCTGTTCCATGGGAGAAAGATGGACAGTCTCTTTTCTGCCTCTGAAAACCTGCCAGAGGGTCAGCTATGGGTCGGTCCCACCTTGATAGTACATAACAAAAACAACATCCCTAATTATAGCTAAGTAGGGATGAACATTCTAGCAAACACAGTGGTTCATCCTCTCAGACTGACAAACAACCTGTCTTTTGGATGCTTCATGATATAACTTCCTTATCAACCCCTATCTTGTTTTAGGAGCTTTTACACTTGGGAGCTTCTTGACCACATTTCTCAAATGAAAGTCTAGAAGATTGTTTCCACACTTCCAAGGGTCAAGGAATTAGAAGTCTTGAACAGGTTCACAGTCATTGTCTGTCTCCTTTCCCCCCAGAGTTGCAGCCGATCGTCCCTTATACAAATATTCCCACAGCTATGACTGCTGCAGATTCTAATAACACGGTCCATATGCCAAGTATCAGTGCCAATAATACTTTGGATATTTACCCCTGTGAACACCAATAACTACCGCTGTGACTATCTCCACTCATGCCAGCACAAGCTGCAGTGATTGTCCTCACTAACACCCACCACAGTGACATTGTTAGAGCAGAAGAGTAGGCCAAGCTGTACCCAAGGCGAGGGAGTGGCTTCCTTGAAGGAAAGGCTCATAGCTTGCCTGTGGGCATGACACTTCCATTCAGAAGCCACAATGCCTAAGAGCAAAGGGAGGCCAGCCTGGCAGGAGCAGCAAAGGTTCTTCTGAAGGGAAGTGAGAGATGAATTGGCACAGTGACTGCAGCAATGGGCTCCAGTATGTCAGATGACGAGGATGGCACAGGATAGGACAGTGTTCAGATCTGTTGTTCACAGGGTCACTATGAGCCGTACTTGATAGCATCTAACAATAACAACAACAAACTCCCTTTAGGGTCTAGTCCTTTTGCATGTTCTCCAACACCCCTCAGTTTCCAAGTAAATTTTCTCATTTGTCTGTAGTCCTATCCCAACAGCTGAAGGACACACCTAGGTGTCTGTTGCAACCCCTGCCTTCAGCCGCCTCCTGCAACCAGCCTACCAGCTGCTTTGCTACCTTGGCCTGACTGCAGAGTTGGGCTACATCATCTTGACACATAATTATCTCCCGTATTCTTAATCATCTGAGCTGCTTCCTAATGCGAACGGGAGCCTGGCTGCTTGGAGGCACCCTGGGTGGGGGAGGGGGAGGAAGGGCTGTGCAAAGGCTTTACTAGCTCCTCTCAGTTCCCCTCCCACCTGGGTTCAGTGGATCAGGCTGGAGGTCAGGGAGACCTCGCCTCCCTCATGGACTCCAGCCTTTATCAAGGAGAAAGGATAGTTCAATGTGGCCTGAGATTGGTCAAGAAAAGGTGGGAGTGAGGTCAAGAGGAAGGAAAAATTAGGGCAAAGAAACCCTCTCCCTTACCAAAAAAATGAAATGAAGCTTCTGATCCTTTTTGCCACCTGGCAAGGCCTAGGAGGGAGTATTTAAACAGTAAGAGAAGACTTGGAGGTCCCATTATCTGTCACCTAGACATCACTGCTTCCTGAGATGTTTCCCAGCTTCCATCTCTGTCAGGCACTGGGGAGGGAGCATCATCTCCCAACCCTGAACCTAGCCCTCTTCTAGCTCTTCCTGCTGATGCCTCAATATCAATTCAACTCCTGGTTTCGGCAGAAAGTCCAAATTCCTTTATCTGGTCCAGTCATCACCTGAAACCATTTTTATGGATTGAATTACATTCCTCCCAAATACATGTTGTAAATCCTAACCTCTATGCTATAACAAGGTCTCCTAGTGTGTAGGGAGTAGCAAGGCTAGCCCAAAGACCATACCTCTTCTAGGGTTCCAGTTCAAAAGAGAAAGCATGACAGTATCCTCCTGTGAGATTTAGCGCCTGAGAAAAACCCAAGAGAGGGTCAGCTATGAGTCAGTTCCAACTGGACATAAGAGTATATGCTAATGGTTACAACCCATTTGGAACTGAGTTGTCTTTGTTATGTTAATGAAGCGGGATTAGTGTAGGGTGTGGCTTGCCTTAAACTCTCTTGAGATATGTTGTTGTTGTTATGTGCCCTGCCATTCATAGCAACCCTATTATGTACAACAGCTCAGAAGCCTGCCCTGTCCTGAGCCAGTCTCACTGCTTCGTCACACCTAATCCCATTGGCCGAGTTACTGTGCCAGTTCATCTCATCTGGGGTCTTCCTCTCTCCTTCACTGACTCTTCCAACCTTGTGAGCATGATGTCCTTCTCCAGAGACCAGTCCCTCCTGACCTCGTGCCCAAAGTAGTTGAGACAGAGCTTCAAAATCATAGTCTCTGAGGAGAAACTTGGTTTCACCCTCTCAAGGACATTAAACAGGCAAAGGAAAGTTGCAGAGATGGGGTGGGGAGAGATGCCACATCACATAAAGAGCTCCCACAGGCAGAGGCTCAAAGAGACAGGGCTTTTCTTTAGAGATGATGGGGAAAGAGGTATTTCCCTTGAGCTGACACCCTGAATGCAGACTGCTGGCCTCTTTAATTGTGAGAAAAAACTGAATGGCTTAAAATTGAGAAGGGAGTGCATCAGGGTTGTATTCTCTTTATAGACCTAGTCAATCTGTATGTTGAACAAATTATCCAAGAAGCTGGACTCTATGAACAGGAGTATGGCATCAGAATTGGAAGGAGACTCAACAATAACCTGCGTTATGCAGATAACACAGCCTTCTTGCTTAAAGTGAGGAGGACCTGAAGCACTTGTTGCAGAAGATCAAGGAATGCAATCTTTGGTATGGATTGCATCCCAATATCAAGAAAACAAATTTTTTTACCACTGGACCAATAGGCAATATCATGATGGATGGAGAGGAGATGGAAACTGTCAACAGCTTCATCTTGCTTGGATCCACAATTAACACCTTTGGTACCAGCAGTCAGGAAATAAGAAGATGCATTGCACTGGACAGTCTGTAGTTAGGAACCTCTCCAAATGATTGAGGAGCAATGATGTCATCTTGAGGACTAAGGTACATCTAGTTAAGGCCATAGTCTTTCCCATTACATGCTATGCATCTGAGAGCTAGACAATGAATAAAGATGACAGGAAAAAAATTGATGTCTTTGAGCTGTGGTGTTGCAGAAGAGAACTGAACTGGACAGCCAACAGAACTAACAAATGTGTCTTGGAGAGGGTGCAGCCAGGCTGCTCTTTGGACGCAAAGATTAAGCTTTGCCTCCCATACTTTGGGCATGTTGTTAGGAGGGGCTGTTCCTTGGAGAAGGACATGATGCTAGGAAGGGTAGAGGGTCAGCAAAGGAAAAAAAGACCCTCAACCAGGTGGATTGACATGGTGACTGCCGCAATGGGTATTTGTGAATCAGACGTGTGAAGATGGCACAGTATAGAGCAGGGTCCTAAGGCAGGATTTTGTACCAGGAAATGAGGGTGGTATTCTAACAGGTATGTAAAATAGGAAAGCCGTTTTGAAATTGGGTAATGGACATAAGGCTGGGAGAGTTTTAAAGTGCCTAATAGTAAAACACAAGATTGTCTTGAAGAGATTGATGGTGGAATTATGGACGTCAAAGGCAATGCTGGTGAGGGATTAGAGGAAGTCAAGAGAACTACAGAGAAAATCTCTATCAGTTTGGGGAATACACATAGTGTCAGCCACAGAATATTGTTAGAATTTGGATGTTAAATGTGCTTCTTTTGATAGATTTTAAAAGAAAATGATGCGTATGTGATTAGACAATGCTGGAAGAAGGATCCTTTTTATATGCAGTGGCAAAGAATTTGTTTGAATTATGTTCCCAATGTTTAGTGAAAGATAGAATTTGTAAGGGATGAACTTGGATGTCTGTTGAAGAGATTTCTAAGCAAGATTGTAAAGAGGCAGCACATTTTATCCTTGCTTCTCCGAAAAGATGGACTTAAAAGATGAACTGTGCCGAATGGAAAGAGAACTTAAAATTTTGGAAAATTCTGTCGTATAAACTAAGGACATATGTTCTAGAATGCTCACCAAGGAGGTGGCCACACAATCTTTTGTTAAAAAGATCAAATCTGTGACTGATGGGCCTAAGTAACTATCACAGCAGAAAACACATCAGTTCTGAGTGAAGGGGACAGAGGAAGAATGCTGTTTGAAATCTATAATCCTCTTAGGAATCTATAGGCAAGAAACATGCTGAGGAAGCTACTTCTGTTGTCCTTTCAGAAAAGACAAGACCATCCCTGCAGCAGGCAGGAGATCAACAGAAGTATCAGAAGGAACATGGGAAGCAGGGCCTTCTCACTGGGCCATAATCAAAAAGAGTCCTTTGCCAATCGTGGTTCTCAGTGTGAAGCTGCCAGGGCGATGAGGCTGCAGCCCAAATCTGATGGGGTGGAGTTGCCATGCCAAGGGGAATAAAGAAGACAATCAAGGGGGTAAGTTTGCCACTCACATAGACTAGTAGTGCTGCCCACAGCTGAAGGAGCAGAACTACCGGCCCGTTGAGTCTATAAAGCAAAGCTGAAGGATAGAGCTGACAGATGTTCACACAAGAGTCTAGAGGGCAAGGTCATTGTCTCAGAAAACAGTATTCTTTTCAAGCCTTAAAAGCTAATGTCATTTGTTCTGCTGGTTTAGGAACTTACTTAGTGCCTGTTTCACCTTCTTTTCCTCCAATTTCTCCCATTTGTCAGGGATTGACACAGTGATTGTAGCAATAGGTTCCAGCACGGTGGAGATGGTGAGGACAGCTCAGCTTAGGGAGGGGTTCTCATCTGTTATTATAAGGTCACTAGGAGTTGTCGTGAACCCATGGCACCTAACAACAGCAACAACGTACTTGAAATACCTATCTTGTACCTGCTCCCATGGTACTTTGAAAGCAGCTAACTTGCATTCTAGATTTCACAGGTTCATAGATAAACAATTCTGCCTCAGAATAAAATGCTCCCTGAACTTTAATCCATATTTTATTTAGATGCTTAAGAAGATGAAATTTTAGACCTGGAGTTGATTTTTAAACCTTGAGGTTAATGTAATGGAGTGCCTGTGTTTTGCATGTGGCAAGGGTATGAATGGGGCTGGGGCAAAGGGGAGAATGACCTAGCTGCAAGAAGCTGCACTGCAATCCTGAAGGCGTGCAGTTCAGAGCCACCAGCTGCTTTGCGGGGAAAGGATGGACATTCTCCTCTTGGGTGAGTAACTGTCTCAGTCAGCAATGGGTCGGTTCTGACTCGATGGACAACAACAACTAAATATTATAAATCCCAGTCTCTACAATTATGGCTAAGGAGCCCTGAGAGTATAGTTAAGTGTTGGGCCACTAATTGAAAACACAGTTGTTCCCTGGGGAAAAGATGAAGTGGTCTCTTGCCCTTAAAGACTTACAGCCTACAAAACCAATGGAGGGTCATCCTGAGTCAGAATTGACTTGAAGGCAGTAGGCTTGGGTATGCTTATGGTTATAATACCATCAGTGAATGGGTTGGTTTTGTTATGTTAATAAGGCAGGATCAGTAAAAGGTGTGTCTTGAGTCAATCCCTTGAGATATAAAAGAGATTAAAGAAGTCAATGAAAGTAGCAGAAATAGTGGAAGAGATGAGGAAAAGTGTCAAACAACATAAAGATCACACAAGAGCAGAAGGTCAAAGAGATAAGGATCTTCCTCCAGCGCCTTTCCTTAGAGGCGGCATCCTGAATTTGGATGTCCTGCCTCATAAACTGAGAAAATGGAAGTCCTGTTTCTTAAAGGCATCCATTTGTGGTATTTCTGTTACAGCAATGCTAGAATACTAAGATATCCATCCACCTCGCCTTAACACCCACTACTTCCACTTGCCCTTTGTCTCAGCCAAACCTCTTAATTTTCTCACCATGGCAGATTCTAGTCACGAGTCTCAGTCTATTAGAATTTCATGCTGCCATTGTCTTTGGTCATCTTCCCCACCCTCCTTCATGGCTTTCCTCCAAGAGGTTTATTCTCTCGCTGCTCTGAACTCAATGGCCTACAGCCCGGACCTTTATTACAACACAGATATCTGATGGGCCTTTCTACTCTCTGGTGCTTTGCACGCCTTGCCTGACTGTAAGCTCCTAAAGGACAAGAATCACATCTTGTTCTGCTTTGGGATTTTATAGCTCTAAGCAACTGAGGTGCAGGAAAGGTTCATTAAACTGAATAGACTAGAAACAATGGCTGTGATCGATTGTTTCGACAGGAGGTTTACACAGTTCTGGGCTAGTCCAGCCTGGCCCTGGGTGGCTGCAATTTCATGCCATGGCCTCTCTGTCCCTGGCCTCCTTTCATGGCCCATGAAAGAAGTCCAGAGAGCAGAGGGCATGCTCGGCTCTAACCTCAGGACAACATTATACATGGCTTCTGAGGCTTCCCTCAGCCTCCTGAACACCCCACACTCTGCAAAAAGTCACCTCAGCTAATGATTTAAGGGGGGGAACCCCTTAGGGTTTGCAGTAGAATCTTCTAAACTACTCAGGGTATCAGAGGTCTTGGCTCAGGCCTGAGCATGGGAAGCCCCCAGGGAGAATTAGGACTTCGAGTTTTCACTCAGCCTCCCCCTGCCCATCAGCGGCTGCCGCCAAAACAACCACAATGAAATTTAGTGAGTGGCAAAGGCCGTAGCAGCCAAATGGGTTTGGATATTTTGGAAGAAGAAGAAATAGAGCCAGACAAGCTGTTTCCCTGTGAAACGAGGCCATTAGGGCTTCTGGAAGGAGGCCAGCACCAGGTCATTGCTGTCTTGCCAGACCTAGGCCTCTCGCATCCACTCTGTCCCTCTCGCTGAAGGCCAAAGCTCTTCTGCTCTCTGAACCTCAGACCATGGGCTCAGGGAATCCCAGCTTGATCTTTCTCTCATTCCTCACCATTGAAAGCTGCCTTCATCTAGGGCTTGTCTATGTCTGGGCTGACCATGGCATTTATTGTCTAAACAGGACATTTGTGAGAGTGAACGGAGAGAATGATTGGTCAAGGTATTATAGAGATAGCGGGCATACACTGGTGTTGGTCTGAGCTAATGAGTATACATAATGCCTTTCTTTATGCCCATTCTTTTTTTCAATTTTTTTTTATTATTAGTGTCAATGAAATTTACAGACTTTGGATTTCCATTTATTCATTGTTGCACTTTATGTCCATTCTTAGTAGAGTCTGTCCATTATGTGGGAGATTCCCTTAAAATCGCACACCTTCCCTGTGCCTCTGTATGCTTCCTCAGTCCTGGCCCCAGGGACCACAGGAGAACTGAATGCTCACCAAGAGACCCCTGATAACACAGCACGTGTGAAACATCATCCCCCAGGCTCATCCCCATTACTGACAATAGAGAAACACCTGGAATCCCACTGTTCATTTTAGTGCCTCCATTCTTTCCTTTTCCCTCTCCTCCTCTTCTCTCCTCTCTTTCACTCTCTCCTCCCTTTGACTACCCAACGCCCTGCTACCCCTTCGGGTTTTCCAAGGAAGGTGGAGAGAAGTCCAAGAGAGGAGACTGAGTGCTGCTTATCCCAGGAGAGCCCTTCCTGGAGAAGGGCCCAGGGCCCAGCATGCATGTCACAGAGAAAACACACCCATGGCAACTGCAAATGACATGACATCGCTCTCCACCTCCTTTTGGTTGGGATCAGGTGAGGACAAGACAGGTCAGGGACCAGCTGTCCCCCAATCTCTAAAAACCTTCCCCAGGTAAATGGCTGAGCTCCTCCTCCTGGCACCCCACAGGGATCGATGGGTGAGTCCCAGCAGAAGGTGAGGTAGCTGAGGCTGCTGAGCAGATGGTGAAGCTGATGGCCCCACCAGCAGCCTCCCTCCCTCCTCCAGCAGCCAGCAGGGCAGTGGGGGGACCTGGGCTTTGCTACTAAAATTGATCTCATAGCAGAGCAGCTGCGAAGCTGGGTAGAAACCGGAGCTCTGAGTCCAAGGACAAAGCATGCAAAAGGGAAGCCAAACCTCTTCCCTCCTCCCTACCTTCATCACGTTTCCTCTTCTCACCATTGGAGCGAGGAATCCCCAGGATCCCATTGATGGAGTAGGATCCCACTGGATCATTGGAGGCGCTGGAGACAGGAGGGGAGGCTGTGCTGGGAACTGGTGGAGAGGAAGGAGAACATAACTTAAGGCGAAGCAGTCATGGTCTCAGGCCAGAGCTGCAGGGCTGGGGTGGACACAGAGGAAATGAGAGCGTGGATGGCTCACAGGACCCTTCCTATCCTGGGGCTGAAGGTAGAAGCTGTTGCTACCAATAGTCCAGGGGCGAGTAGAAGCCAGTCAGTAGATCTATGTGGGTTCCACCCAGACTTTCTGGTAGACCTACAGGTTTCACTTGGGTCTCTGAACTCATTCCACTCAAGACGGATGAAGTGCAGGCCTAGGAAACAGACTCAGTCTAGAGATTGGTTCCTCATTCCTCTAGAGAGCATGATCCCTAAGCTGCACCCCCACCTCCCAGCTCTCTCAAACCCTAGGGCTGAGTAAAGCCTTCTAACACTCCAGCTCACTGTTTTTCAGTCCCTTGGACTGAGTCTTTACCAGTCCTGACTGAGAGCTGATGGATTCCTGAGATCTGCCTCTCATCCTCTGGCAGACACTGAGGGTACACAACCTCTCCCCCCTCAGTTGCTTCTGGACTTGAAACTACCTGAGTGGTTCCTAATCTTGCCCTCAGGGCACAGACTAGTGAACCTGTTCACTGAGCAGTGATGAGTTCAGGTACACGCTGGCCTCACCCTCCTTCCCAGCACAAGCTGTGACACAGGCCTCATAAACAATAGCTTCTGCCAACTCCAGGAGGGCTGGGACCAGCTGTGGCTACTTCCTGCTGGTCAAGAAAGAAGAGAACACCTGCCAGGAGGGGCAGCAGAGAAGCTTAATCACCTCCCAGGCCCTCAAGGCCCATACTTTCAATATGGCTGTAGCAGCACCTTGAGCCTAAGGGAAAACTAAGCAGTGTGTAAAGGCAAGGGTCTCTGTGTGTTCTGAGAGGTCATGCACAAGGGAGAGTAAACGAGGAGAGCAATAAGGGGCAGAGAGCTGCATAGTGAGTGAGTTAGAGGCAGAGATCAAGAGAGATGGGCCAAGAGGAACCAGACTCTGTGAGGAGAAAGAGGGAGTGAAGCGACCCACAGAGGGAGGGGAGAGGATGGAGATGGAGGGCAGAGGAGAGGAGAGGACAGGCGAGGAAAGAAGAGAAAAGGTAACTTAGAATGCTTTTTAAAAATAGAAAGACGCAGTTTGAATCCACCAGATGCTCTGCTGGAGAAGGTGGGGCAATCTCCTCCTGTACTAGTCGGATCCGATTTGACGGTACACACACACACACAAAATAATAAACTAAAAATTAAAAAAAGACAAAGATGGAATAAGAGAGTAAATATGAAAGAAAAGACAGGCAGGTGGGGAGACAGAAACAGAAGATGAAGGAGAAGAAGAAAGACAGGAGGAGAAAAAGAAATCTTCAAAGAAAACTACTAGGGTTTTGGGGGGTTGGGGTTTTTTTATTATTAATTTTAATTAATAATTACAGGGACTTTGGATTTCCATTCATACATTCATTCATTGTTGTGAAAACTACTGGTTTTTAATTGAGAGGACTGAGTGACCAAGGGAAGGTGAAGGGAGTGTGATATGCAGAGGGAAAGCAGAGAGCCTTCCGGGTGGACCATCAGCCTTTCTTGCAGAGAGCCTGAGCTTCTGGGAGCTCAGGAAGGGCAGGGATGGGAAATTAGCCAACCAAGTCTTGGGCCTTAGACCAGGTAGGCCGCTCCCTGTGAAGGAGCCAGGCTTCCTTGGTCTCCTGTAAAGGGAAGCCAAGTTCCTTTCCCCCATCCCTTGAGCTCTCTTACCGATGGTGTGGCCAGGGGCAGTCACTCCTGTTCCAGCCCCATCCGGTGTTGGGTGGAAAGGCTGTTGAACTTTGGTCCGGATGATCCTGCAACAACATCACAACAGTATCACACATTGTGTTACCCTCCTGGCCTGGCCACCGCCAGCCTAGCCCTGGGAGGAGCTCTCTCAAGATCCCCCACTCCTTCTTCACATGCCTGCTCCTTGGAACCCTGCCCTGTGGCTGCCACACACAGCTTTCCCTCCTGGCAGCTCTGCCTGGGCCAATCTAGTGTAGCTCTGAGCAGAGGTGATCTGCATTCTACTCTACCTGGTGCAAAATCAGAACACGCTTTACTTTTGGTAGCAAAGAGCAGGGGCACTCAGCATTCTTTCCCCTTGGAGAATGTAAACTGCCAATGACGTGAAGTCCAGCCTTCCTTCCTCAACCACATCAACCACATGTATCTCCCCCTGTATCAGAAATTCTTGTCTGGAGACCATTCAGGAGCAGCCGTTCCTATGTTGTTGTTCTTGTTATGTGCCGTCAAGTCGCCTGTGACTCATAGCGACCCTATGTACAACAGCCCTAAACTCCGCTCTGTCCTGTGCCAATCGCACTGTCTCTGACACTCCAATCCCAATTACCCCAGTCACTGAATCAATCCACCTCATAGAGGGCCTTCCTCTCCTGCGCAGTCCCTCCACCCTACCAAGCATGATGTCCCTCTCCAAGCACCGGTCTCTCCTCACAACATGTCCAAAGTATGTTAGACGGAGCCTCAGAATCCTTACCTCCAAGGAGCCACCCGGTTTAACCCTTTCCAGGACAAATCTGGTTGTTTTCCTAGCAGTCCATGGTATTCTCAATACTCTTCTCCAGCACTACAGCTCAAAGGCATCAATTCTCCTTCTATCCTCCCTGGTCATTGTCCAACTCTCTCATGCATAAGAGGTGATTGCGAAGACCATGGCCTGTAGCAGACGTTTCAGGAGAAGATGGGCAGTCTCTCCTGTAAAGTTTCATAGCCCCCAGAACCCACTGGGAGGGTGGCTGTGAGGAGAATTAACTGGAGAACAGTGAGGTGAGACTTTCCAACTCGGAGATTCTGATGAGGTAATAGGTGTTTACAACTCCGCAATAAGGGATATACCTTTAACTTGCTGGTCTGTCTAATACTTCTCTAAATCTGAACATTCACATTGAGACAGACTAGGAAGAAGGATTCGCCATCCACTTCTGAAATAGCAGGCCTCTGAAAACCCTATGTACAACAGCCGTTCCTATAGGAACTGTATTACAGGCCCTCAGAGACAAGAAGGAGGGGCTACTCCTTGGAGAGGGACATCATGCTTGGAAAGGTGGAAGGTCAGCAAAAGAGAGGCATACCCTAAATGAGATGGATTGACACAGTGACTGCAGCAACGGACTCAAGTGTGTCAGAGATGATGAGGATGGCGCAGGACAGGGCAGGGTTCAGGTCTGTTGTTCATAGGGTCACTAAGAATCATATTTGACTCAACAGTGCCTAACAACAAGAAAAGTGTGTGTGTGTGTGTGTGTGTGTGTGTGTGTGTGTGTGTGTACACCATCAAATCAGATCCAACTGACACAGGAGGAGAGTGCCTCTCTTTCTCCAGGGGATCATCTGCTCCATTCAAATCGCACACTTTCACGATTGCAGTGCAGCTTCTTGCCACTAGGCCACCAGAGCTCCCTAACAACAACTTGAGTTAAGAAGTAGCTAGGGAAGAGCTGGGTCACAAGGGACACTTTTGTCCCTAGGATCCCAACAAATGTCAGGCCCTGAACCATCTCTTCTCAAGTCTACATTTTGTCCTCCAGCAAGTCCAAGCCTTATCCCACCCTGCTAATTGGCTGACAACCTCTTTGCCTACATGAAAGTCTTGGGTTGCAGACTCTTTTCAGCCTGGTTGAAAAGTCTACTAACTTCTCCTCAATCCTGGGAGTGGAAAAGGAATCAAGCTATCTTGAGGGCCTGCTTTTCAGTAGTATAAAAGAACCAGGCCCAGTTATCCAAAAGATTAACCCAGGACAATCTTGAGGAGTGGCCCCCTCCACCTACTGGTCAAAGATGCCCTTGGAAGTCATTTTCCCCATGGCTTCTCTCCTTTCCCCAGAGCCATGCTCAACACAACTGGTCAGGTACGTGAATCATACGCCACAGCACACTCAACACTTTCTGGCTTTTACAGAGCACTTAGGCAACAGGAATGAAGTCCCCACATTGAAGTGCTGGAAATGATATTGCGGGGGGGGGGGGTGCGGGGGGAAACACACATCTCTAAAGTTGTGCTGTTGGAAAAGAGTACTGAATATTCTATGGGCTGCCAAAAGAACGAACAGATATGTCTTAAAGAAAGTATAGCCAGAGTGCTTCTTAGAGGCCTAGATGACAAAGCTTCGTCTCACAGACTTTGAGCAAGTTGTTAGGAGAGGCTATTCTTTGGAGAAAGGCACACAGTTTGAATCCACCAGTTATTCCTAGGGAGAAGGACAGGCAATCTCCGCCTGTGCAATTTGTTGTTGTTGTTGATTGTCTTTGAGTCAAGCATGACTCACAGTGACCCTATGAACAAAAGGCTTGAAGCCCTTCTACAACTATCGACATTTATCAAAGTTCATAGAGTTTCCAAAGGCATGTTGTTTAGGAAGTTGAGGGTCAGCTATGAGTCACTTCTGACTCAACAGTACACACCAGCACAACCCTCATGGTTAATTAGCTTTGTGTTGTTGTTAGGTGCTGTCAAGTTGTACAAGACTCATAGAGACCCTATGAGCAACAGATCTGAGCCCTGTCCTATCCTGTACCATCCTCATTTTTTTCGGACATACTCAAGCCCATTGCAGTAGTCACTGTGTCAGTTCATCTTTTGCTGGGCCCCAACCTTCCAAATAAGATGTCTTGGGTGTCTGGAAGTAAATGCCAGAGGACTTAGAGGGAAAGACTGCTTGCAGGTGGGAGAACAGAGAAAGATGCCACTGAGGAGTTAGATAGAACACGGCATGGATCTTCAAAAGAGACTAGGGCTGAAGTTGGGGGCACACAGGATCGCAGAAGGAGCCCACAGGTGGTGCAAATGGCAATGTGCTTGGCTACTAACTGAAGGGCTCAAGTGTAAGTCAAGGCAGAAGCATCTCAGGAAAGGCCTGGAAATTTACTTCCACAGGATCAGTTCTTGAAAATCTATGAAGGACAGTCCCACTCGGCCACTCATGGGGTCACTATCCAATTCTGACTCATAGTGAATAGTTTTAGTGTAACAGGAAGGACACAAAGGTCAGGGGCCTGAGGCCCAGCTCTGACTCTATCAGTAGGAGAACACATAGCCTTGGACTTAACACTCAGCTTCTTTGGGCTTCAGCTTCTCCAGCTGGAAATAAAGGGGTTAGACTACAGGGCCTCTAAGGACCTCTTCCCTAGTAAAAAGCGATCGGATTCTAAATAGAGCCAAGTAGCAGAGCAGAGGACATTACAAAGAAAGTAAGTAACTTACTCAAGATCACACTGGTAATTAAGGCATATTTAGAAAATACCATTTTCAAAAAAATCTGTGCTTTGGGTGACTTTTACTGTACTTGGCAGCAGTGTCTAAGGACCAGGCTTAGGGCCTCAAGCCATGAGTACTTCTACATTAGAGATGATATGTACAATCTCAGTAATACAAGGCATAAAGAAGTGATCTCTGGAAAGGAAGGGAAGACTTTTCAAGACAGTACAAAAGCAGAACGGCCATGATCTGGCTCCTGATGGATGCCAACCGGGACTCTCAGAACCAATTCTGTACGACCAGGGTCTGTGATAGGAACAGGGGTGCAGGAAGGTGGCTGGTTTAGAGAGCAGTGATTACACTGGTCCTAGATGCGCAGCATTTGAGCTGGTAGAGAAGCCTGATGTAACAGAGAGAGTTAATAGATTATCAAGGAAAGGAAAGTTGAAAGTCAGGTGAGGTCTCAGGAGAGGAGGCTGGAGGGACACTTCTTTTGAGGGAAAGGGAGAAAGAGCCTGGCCTTGTGAAGAAGTCCTAGAACTGTTCACACAGGAAGCGGAAAGAAGCTGGGTAGAGCAGATTCATGCAGGTCAGCCAGGGAGAGTGTTTCGAGAATATAACCCACAGTGCTAACTGTGACATAAAGAGTGAACAACACTGGCAATAGGAAGCAGCACAGAAAACAGGCCCTCAACAAAGTCACTGAAGCAGGAGCTAGACAGAGTTAGGGAGTCAATGGTGAGACGCAGGAAGCAGTAAAATCAGGAGTTTGTCAGGAACAACGTGGAAGGCAGAACATGGAACAGGCAGCTGAGGAGAGGGAAGGCTTCACAGCGTAGGGAAGGTCTGGCTAAGTCTGCAAGCTGAAGAGAAACCAGTGAAGAAGGAGAAACTGAATTTACCTGAGTGACCGAGGACAAGGGATGGAACACAGAGAGTCACTGAAGGAGTCGGTCAGATAGGACAGGCTTTAACATGGCCAAATGCCTCAAAAGAGAACCTTTCTCTCTCAGCAAAACAGAAGGTAAGGTCATTCCCAAGAGTTGAAGAGAAGGAGGAAAGTTTGGCGGGGGACCACTATAGGGAAAAATGAGAAAGTAGTCAAGGACCGTGTAGGTCTACAAGAAAGACATAGACAGATGCTGGACAGCTCAGAGAAGCTGCTCCTGATTCGCTGCTTCTGGGGTCACGCTGGGCACTGTGGGTGGCCCTGGCCGAGGGCACTCCAGTGCTGGAGCTGGGTGAGGAAGATAACTGGACGGGCTCGCAGATTTTCTGTCTTTGTTACCCAGGGCCTCTGACCTCAGGGCACTGGTGCAAATTTAGCTGAGGCAGCAAGTGAAGGAAAATCGCTCCTGCCTGACAGCAGTGTAGTGGTGCACGGGAGGAGAGGGGCTGGCAGGGTGCCTGCAGTGACTCACTCATGCTTGCGGTGCCCACCCGCAGCCCCCAAGGAGTAGACACTTGCTGGTCCTCATCACTGACCCCAGAAAAATGTAAGACTCAGAGCTGTGGAACCCTGATAGTCACTCACTGGCCCATCTTCACCCCATAAAACAACCTAACAGCTCCCAGGAATTTCACTCGGGTTAA